CCAGATATGCCTTCAGTCTTCTATAGCGGCGCTTAAGGAAGTTCATTGCATAGCGTATTCTCCGAGTGTTGAACGACGTGGGAAACTTTGTTGTTTACTATGTTTTTGATAAATTATAATTCGTGGAAAACAACTCTTCTTGAGCTCTGCCGTCTTAAATATGTGTAGAATAGAAGTGCTCTGTTTAACATAAGAAATATTCCAAAAAACTTGTAGGACGAATGAAATGTTTGTGGAGAAAGTCGTTCGAAATCAGGACATGTTGTTGAAAATGCCCCACCATGTGCGAACTGAAATCCGTGCACTTTGCGAATATGCCAAATTGTTTTCGACATGACGAATTTTGATCTGGCTAAAGGCTGATACAGTAGTGGCCTTGAATGTTTACGAGTACTCGCTATTTTTTGGAAAGGTGGAGAAAGCGATCCGATTTGTTCCGTTGTTAACTGCTTCACCTTTCTCGTGGTGACTTCTTGTCGGTTACACAATATTTGGTGGCTCCGTAGATGACTAGGCGTTTCTTGTCTATGCGTGCTAGTCTAGTCATCATTAGCACTATTGGCACGCCTAGTTTACTTTGCTTCAGGTTATGAATACGAAGTCGTTCTGGTTGGACACATCAGTGACCGTACGCGGTCGTTTATGATCAGAGCACGACAACGTCAGTATGGCGAGCGGTCTGACCCATCTGAGGTAATCCAGAAGTTATTTTGACACGTCGGTAACATCAATGAGCTGGCTAATGTGATTACAAAGTCACTTAGGTCGTTTGAGACACATTGTTTGTTCATTCTCTTTGTTTCACACTATTTTCGGAAACTGTAGAAATTTCGCAAATCCTACTGTTGACTGGAGTTTTGAAGGAAACGGTGCAACCGAGGGGCGGTCCCCTGCTCAGGATGGATCTGACGAGTAAGTGTACATAGCCGTTCACTCCTGGTGTAGAACGTACAATGCCACTACTTTCGTTTGCAGCTGCTTTTGTTCCTCGTGTTCGATGTGTTTTTTCTATTGCTCAAGTGTAGTTTGTTATGTTATTCTTTCCTACGAATTCTTTTTTTTGCTTTTTTCCTCTTTTTTCGTGTTCTTGTTCGAAAGCCTGGAATGATCTGTGCTTCGGTGCCTAATTTTTGTGTTATTTTTTGAACAATCAGAATATCTCTTTTGAGAACCGTTTGTTTGTATGATGTTGTTTCGAGAATAGCGCTAAAAATTCATTGTTAAGCGTTCGTGTGTAGTGATTGTACTGTTCCCCTGTCTTGGTCTGACTCTATTGAAGAGAATTTTCCCTTTTAAGCAATCGTGAATTCGTTGTGCTAATAAAAAATCGTCTTATGTCTCTACTTGTAGATCGAAGGCTTTTTGGTTCCTTGTCATTCTTTCCGTGATATACCAGCTAGAATAACGTCACTGGAGTTCAGGTACTTTTCGCAGTCAAGCACTCATTGGATCCGGGAACTTGGAGTTGAACTTGAATTCGTAACAATGTATGCTGAGTTTCATCGTCCTCGGCTCGCTTTCGTCGTTCGTAACGGTCCCTATAGATGCCTTCGGAACAGGTACTTTGAGCACTTGAAGAACTCTGTTGTACAACAACTATGTTTGAAAACCTCGTCTGTGGTCAGCATTTCTGTTTTCCTCGATGCACCATTTCACGAAAACATGTTGTAAGGGGATATATTTATTCACTAACTCTTGCACAGTGTCTTTGTCTTGAAATTGCTGGCTGAGGATGGCTTTTCACCGTCCCACTTGGGTTCTACCCATTCTGTTTCATTGAATTTACATCGATTCAGTGTGACCGATTCATGATCGAATATAGATTGGACGCAGGTGGTTGCCATAGTTCCAGGTATTTAGATGGCTATGCTTCATATTGTGTTGTTTCTCAGTATAAGGACCAAGGAATAGATCACAACTGAATCGTCAAGGTATCCAGTAAATGCGAAGAGAGTGCATATGCTTGCGATTGTTTCCGTTTCTCTCGTTTTGTTGAATTTAAGATATTTACAGTCAGCTTTTCTATAGCTGCCACATTGAAATGCTCTCCCGTGTTTTTTTCGTAATGTCCATAGTTTTAAGGGAAGGAAAAGGAGAGAGGTCACTTTGAAAAGAATGACAGCGAATACTCCGAGCCGGCCCTAAGATACCTTGAAACATTGAGGTGAAGGAGGCCGCGAGTTATTGTCAACTCGGTCTTCCTGTATTCAAATCTCAGAATGGATCAATTGTCCACCCACATAGAACGCTAATTTTCATAGTGTTTACTTTATTTTCTGCTTTGTTACTCAGTTTTTGATACGTTAAGTTTTAATGGTGTTAGAGAGTTGTAATTTTTTTCGTTTTGTACCTTAGAGAATGTTAGGTGTTATAGTTTGCCAGCTTTATGCGTCGATCCCCTTATGACGTGCATAAGTTGCTGGTTTCAAAAGGCTTTTTTAATGAATGCTTTGAGCATTTCAGGCTCTGAAACGATCGTCATGGAAGGAGTTGAGATCCGGTCATTCGGCCTCGGAAGTCCCACCTTCGAGTGTTGGTAATTTTAATTCTAATCGCTGTACATACTGTTCCTTCGTTTTCTCTGGTGAAGTGTGGAAGCTTCCAGTTTACTTCTTATATAAGAAAACTGAGGAACTGTGACGGTCTAACAACATAGGGGGCCAGACATAAAGGAGACTGTATTTGGTTTGAAAGTACCCAGTACACGGTAACCTTTATCTCTTTGACAGTGTTTTCCAATTCTTCCTGGATTTCACAGTTTGTCATAGATGACGTGGTATCCCCTGGTTCTCCAACTTTCTTTTAAGAGACTTGAATTTCGCAGTTCCTTCTGCAATATTTGGCTCAATGAGGGCATTATCATTAAAAGGCATAAATTCTACCGTCCCACCGATTCTGTCTTAGCGCGGAAGCCACTGTGTTTCGTCATACTTTGTGATTAAAGCAGTCTAAAAGTTGATTTGAAGTCTTACGGATCAAAAAACTGGCTTGACATGTGGTTGATGTGGGATGCTTGTCTGACCAATAAGCTCACTATGGTCTGGAATCTCTTATAGCACAAAATTTAGAAAGAAACCTGTTCTTATAATGAGTAAATGATTTTTCTTATGTTATGGAGACCATCCAACATTTGTTTGCTATTTTTGCAACTCATAAGTGCCTCGTTCAGTTCGTCGAGTTAAGACGTCGTCGTTCAAGTCTTGAAAGGGGGACAGCTTCGATCTCTGAGGTGCACCTCAGACGAAAAATGTCAGACTCAAGTCGAACGGAACTGTAGAGCTGCGCGATCCTAGTAAGTCATCCATTCTGCACAATGGAGTTATTGTGGTATTTTCACCGTGGACAACTGCGTTGAATTTTCAGAGCAAGTGTCCTAGTTTTCCCTTTTCGTTTCTCTTGATCAGGCTTCTGTGTCGTAATCTGCAATTACCGCTTGAGTTCCTTCTTCCAAATATCTTCCGATGGAGCTACCGTCCCGCATCTGTAGTAGCTGCCCTCACCGAGCGTAGGCTTTACAAAGCAGAGCTCGCTCTAGTGTCCTCTGTTGACCGTCTACAGAAACCGATTAGTTTTGTAATCTCCCTATGTTGGTTCGAATTTAGTGGCCATTGCCCTTATATTTATTGACGTTTTTACTCGGGCTTTTTTCCTAGTTCACAGACGTCGTCGTCCACTTTGAAATGTTCCAGTTTTTGAAGATGTTTTCAATGTGTAGTACAGGAAATGAATTGCCATTCCGACCCAGATTGCTGTAGTGGCGAACGGTTTTGAGAATATCGATGAGAAGCTTAGTTTCGTGAGATGATGCTTATTGTTTGAACATAGCCATATACAACTGTTTTATGTCTCGCGCACTACTTCCATTGAATTGTGTGACGAACATTATGCTCCATTGGCTATCACCTCTGTCACTGTGATCAGCCGTTAGAAAGCAATTGATGTGTTATACATATTGAGACATGTAATGGTGTCTTACATGTTTTTTTTT